TGGGCTACAAAGGCAAGAAGTGACTGGCTTACAAGCTCTCAAGAGAGAATCTAGATCCAGAGAGTGTGGAGGAAGTTTGAATCTCCATTGAGTAGTATCCAATCTGTCTAGGTGGGGCTAATGAAAGGAAATCCGGATAGGTGTCTTGTGATACAATGGTGAAAAATTGTTATCAAGACTGATTGTGAGGGTTGTAAATGTAAAGGTAGACATTTTGTGGCAAGGAGGAGAGAAATTAACTTTCCAGTCTAGGAGCGGAGGTCCCTAGGACCACCAAGGGAGAAGAGCGGAGAGCAGGACCCTACCCAGAGAAGCAGTGATTGCTGAGATGGAGGCAGAGATGATGACGTGGAGAGATGGAGCAGCTGGGGACTTTAGACCCAGAGAGGGAGAGGAGCTGTGTGCTGATGACCGGGGGAGGGGGCAAGGAGGGCAGGGGGCAGGCAGGCTTGTAGAATGTACCCTTTGGTTGGTTGATGATGCATGGAGGGGATTGTAACCATGGCAATGAAACAATATAAGATAGGATGAATGTAAAACTAATGTTCTCCCATGTAAACTATTACATAATTCACAATAAAACATTTAAAAAAAAGTAACACAAATGTGAGAAAAAAATGAAAAGGTAAATTGCAAAATTTGTAGAATGAACAGGGAGATGAGCTCACTGGAGATACACATCTCAGAATGGACCTCTGCTATCTTCTCCCTGAGTACAGCCATTGCTAGTGAAGGAGGAGGATCCCATGGCAGCCTGTTTCCGTGGCTTTAAGCAGAGAATGTTTTGTCAGACTGTTTCAAAAGGTGGGTACAGAATGGGGATATTTAGCGTGCGGTTGCCAGTCAACAAGAGGCATGTTTAGGCTTGCTGCAGAGTGATGATCCCTGGCTAATATGGACAACTTAACCTAGCACATTAGAACTAAATTAGCAAGCAAACCTAAACTCTCCAGACCAATTCTGAACTCGTATGTAAAACAATGTCCTTCATAGATAGCATCAGCTATGGAATTAGGACATGTTCCCAGAATGAGAAGAAATGGAAAATACTGAGCAAAATCTGGAAGAAGGAAGTCCATTTTGGCTCTTCCCAGAACTGCTGTCCATAGTAGGGGCACTTTGGGCTTGTTTCCCTACTGTCCCCAAACCTATTCTCTGCTGCTCTTGCTCCAGGAACCCAAGAATTGTGTATGAGTCACTTCTTACCACTAAAGCAGATAGACCTCTGTAAGTCATTATTGAAGAGCATAAACAGAATGTATGTTAGCTCACTCAGAAGAAAAATAAGTTAAGACACCATAGTCAGAATGAAGGAGAGCAATATCTCAGGGCAGAAAGAGTTATC